TCACGAAGATCACACAATACCAATATGACCATGTGAGATTGTTTAACTAAACTATCGCCTTCACACGACAGACCAGTGATATAGTGGCGTGGCTGAAGTGTGTGAGTGTATCTCTCAGCCTGCAGGCGCTCCATACTTTAGATTATTATTATAGTCAATGCTCGTACATAGCAGCAGCAATGGTAAATTAAGCAGCAATATGGTAAATTAACAAACTCACGATACTTACTTTTCATACGGTACTTACAAAGAGAAATCTTTTAAATATCTTAAAAAAGTTCTTAAGAATTGTAGTACTCGTATAACAACAAGAGTACTACAACTTGTAGTACTCGTATTGTTGGCTAGCTAGTCAACGATACTATACAATGAATAGTGATTGTAGCATTATAGTAGTAATTATTAAGTACATCATGTATTGACTTCTCAGTTTGGTAGTCTAATCCATCATAAGCAACACTCGTTTTGATTGTTGAAGCTATCTGTATTTTTTAACTGTTATCATAATTCATAGTATAACCATTATATTACTCCATCTATGGTATAACTATCAGTTACCAGGCGCACGTTGCTGCGCTAACAACTATTATTTTAAATGCCGATTTGTTCTTGTCGATAAATAATAAAAATCAATACCAAAAACAAAAATAGAATATTAATTTTACTTAATTGCCAGTGGATAAACAATGTTTTTGTTTTTTCATTAGGTGTATAAATATATAAGTTCTTAGGCGTACCCACCACCACGTGAGCACACAACATACAGCTGTATGTGTGAAAAGCATTAATTTTCTAAATTTAAACCGGCGATAGTTAGGGATTGCCCTTGTGCCTTATGATGGTGATTGCGAAAGCAAGACGCAAAGGAAATTGTAGTCGCTTGAATTAAAAGGGTAATTCGGATGAAATCATCGGTATTCATGGAAGTAAGATTATTTCTCCTTTTAACTTAGGTACAACTCATGAGTGTTGCTTCGGTCAAGTTTGGTGTCAATTTTTTAATCGTCAGTCTGGTTCAGTTCCACATCTTGGGTGGATTTAAGTTTCGCATATACTGTATTATTGAAGTCCCTTGTTTTAATTACAGTAATGTGGTGGGTTGTAGACACATTGGGAGGCATTTGAATACCTGAGATAGCACGCACGATTATTATTCACTTAATAATTTATGTTAGATTGGGTATAGAACAAACGATAAAAATATTAAGGCATTGCCATCCCTTTTATTGTTTATAATACTTTGATAAAGGGGTTTACTTTTTATGTTTACATATTTATTAGTGGAGAATTTAAAACGTTGTTGAGTACACAGGTGTGCTGCGAATGGGGTTTAATATATTTGGACTTATCCAAAAGTAAAATAGTTTTCTTTGCTGCATTCTGTGAAAACAGTGTGGCACTATTTCAAATCATGACTAATACAGAATGTTGTGATTATTCAAACCTACAAAACAGTTGGTGAAAGTAAACATCTGCTTTTAAATAATTATATTTATTTGTAAACATTGTAGTTCCAAAATTCTGACATTGGACCCCTTAAGATTAGTATAGTGTTATTGGGTTATTGTGTGTTTGAGTATGAGTTTGTAAACACGGTAACCCTGGTAAAATTTTCCGATCTTCAGGATGAAACCTGAAAACAACATGTAATAATTGAAGGAGTTCGAGAGGCTATAAATTTAACATGCTTTGATACATCTTCACTGTTTAAACGTGACAGGGTTTTTTTATTTCACGATTCTCAATCAACCACTCGACGGATTTTCATAATTTTTTACCAGTTCTTTTTTTTCAAATGAATGTTATTTTAACCAAACGGCTGAGTCAAAACAAACTATATGTTGTTGTTTTTACTTTTCTTTGTTTACACTTTAGCAATTGATGCAGTGAAATTGATATAAAGGGTAGGTGTGGACAATTCGTTTAAATGATGTCAGGACACCAACGTTATATTATGTGTTCTGTGAATTTTATTGGATAGTTTCGTTTTATTTTAGGGAGTTTCTATTCAGACCTACTGGAAATTGTGTATAGTATGAGTAATTGTATTGTGGTGATAATAATTATTGAAGAGGCAGGTATGCGATGGAAGTTGGTATCATTGAATAGGCCTATACACTTCTCAATTGATAATTACTTTTTCTACTGTAGGCTACTTATAATCAGTGTGCGAATCACCCGCAAAACGCACTTCAACGCTTTTCACATCTTCACAATTGCTGTTTTATTGTAAAATTATTGTATTTAAAATGCATATAGTATAGGCCTATGATAGGATAAAAACATATTTGGTCACGCGACATTTGTTTACAAGATGAGTTTCACATTAAAACTAGGCACAATAAAAATTGTCTTTACACGTGTAAACTATCTGTTCTGAATTATACAGATTTAACTCACTACTCGATTCCCGTACGTAGGACGGGCTAACACCTCGTAAGTAGATAAATTTTGTTTATACAAACTACATGGAAAATTGAGAAAGCTTTGGAAGTTTGTCACTTGTAGTCTTTCCGAAGCATAAAATACGGCTAGATCTAAACTTGAAGTTATTGCAGAAACCTGAGTGTTGCTCATATGGAATTTATTTAGTTTAAGATTTATTATAGTAGGTTGCTCCGCATTTATTGCAATTACCCTTCGAAGGTTTTGACTTAATTAATTACTCAACTGCTGTATCTGGTTAATTTTGGATAACTCAGGTATGATTTTGCAAATTCTCAACTAATTCCCAAGGAATTGAACACCCCCCTTTTATATTAGTCTAAAGAAGTAAAGGATATTTTCCGTTATTTGACTACCACTTTATAATTTGTATCAACACGAAGTTTGAAGTTTTAGGTTATGTTTTCGTTCCAGCATAACCTAACCTAACCCAACCTAACCCAGAAGCAGGATTTGTAGATAATTATATAACATGTCAACCTGTATACAAAGTAGTGGTAGTCGTGTAACGAAAAAGGTTCGAATGGAGAGTAGATCATGAAAATAATTAAATCAATAAATGAACATAATTGCCTAGCGAAAGTAGAGTTGCTTGGGTCATCGATCATCTAGAGAACGAGAGAAGTCCAGATGGTCTGGAATGTTGTGGATGTATCCAGTGCGGAACGACGGACTGTGTAATGACGTCAGAGGCGCCGCGCCGCGCGGGGAGGTGTGTCCGTGTCAGGTGCGCGGTGCGCCTGCGTAGTGTGTGTGAGGTGGGGGAGGGGAGTGCTAAATAGTAACTGCGCAGTTGCTATACGTAACATTGGCGAACCGATCAACTGCCTGGCGCCAGTTGTAACGGGACTGAGTCAACTGATATTGGTATTGATATCGAGGATAACGTTCTTATGTTCTTAAAACACAACAAGGTTCATGCATAGGTAGTTTACGTACCTATGCTGGTTTAACGAAAGTTTAACGAAGTTATGCTCGTTGTTGCCTAACCAGGAATTTTGGCATTAGATAATATAGGGTACATACCTGTTGTTTCCAAATCATAACATTAAACAATACGACCAATTTTTCCATATTTGTTATCTATTTTTAATTTATGAAAAACATTAACTTGATACAATTCTCAAAAAACATAATCACCACGTTTAAATAAAAATAAAAATAATTATTAATTGAATAAAAAGCTGGACAAACCGGATTATACCATAGATAAAAGGAGTATAGTCTACTCCTTTCATCTATGATTATACTAATAATGGGGGTGCAAAATATTCCCTCAAATACCCTCAAAATGGTTGAATAACACTTTTTCAGTATTAATTAGATACTGTAATAGTCTGCCTACATTAGCTTTATAAATAGATCTGATTAAATTAATAATTATTCGAGTATTGCATTGTTACAAAAAAGTTTTATTGTTATTAAAAATATATCGTTAAGTGTATTGTAATGTAGTAAAACAGCTTTTAAAATACCAAGGTATTTCCAGTATAATATTACTTCAGTGACTACTGTACTATCGTTGATTTTGAAGCTGCTTCTTCTTTAAAAACGTACTGTATTACTTCTGAACATTTGGCAAATATTTGGTTTCATTAATTTTTACAACCAAACCCCTTGGCTGGTATGCTTTCTTCTTCGGAAAACGTTATAAATATCAATTAAGAAAAAAATTTCCATGGACAATGTATACCTAATAAATTGAGCATGAATAACAACAAATTACAAACTAATTTTTTTACTTACTGATTCCATGAATAGGAATTCAATTAAATAGATAAATCTTTAAATACACTATTATATACATCACTAGCTGAACCCGGCAGACGTTGTCTTGCCTTTGACTTAATCCTTGCCCCGTTTAACTTCTTAATTTTCAAGATGATCTCATTCGCATGGCTCAATCACGTATTTTTTACTGGTTGTTTAGATGCAGTACGAAATATGTTATTGAGAAATCCAGTTAAGGCTTTCCTCGTAATTTCAAAGTTTCTCATTAACCAAATGGGCATAAAACCCTACTCAGTTCCTTCAAGTTTTAAAATTTTGTTTTACAATTTGGTTTTATGTGTTGACAAAATAAGTGTTTTCAAGTGAAAATTTTTACTTTGACAACAAATCTAATTCGATCACAACAACTATAACTACTGTAATCACAGTCAAAGAAAGGTATATTACAAAATTTAATGCGCCATTTGTTTACATGTACCATGTACCAATTTGTTCTAAATAGCTTGGACGATAATAATAATAGGTACCATATTATGTCTATGGTTTAGTCTACGTGTAAAATTTAGTCGTGTGATATGACCACATGATTCTTTAATGTCAGTACTCCCATGTGTAAGTTTTTGCCCGCTATTATCCACGAAACGCCAGCATGCGTCGTCAGGTGGGGTATCATATGTCTGTATTGTCTAGGACAGTACAATACAATACAGTCCAAGTCCAGAGTCCAGGGTCCATGTGATATACCCATGACCAAGACCAAACCAGCAGGTTCCTCGGCGGGGAGGGGGGGGAGTGAGGTAGGGTAGGCACAAAACCCCAGTGAAAGCTTCACCGCTCTCCAGTGTGTTCAGTTTTCAACTAGTGAGTGAGGTTAGTTTCCCGCCATGCTGTCCACGGCGGAAATGTTCGGCACTTTCTGCCAATGCTACTGCAATATCATCGACTGCACGCACCAGGACGTGTCACCGAAGGTACATTTCATTTATTCCTAGTATACTATAACTAATTATCATTTACACCATATTTTATAACTGCACAAAAACTTATTAATAAAAAATAACTAATTTTTAACTGATATAAAACGGCATAGGACAACTGCAGTATTTTTCTATCAACGACGTATTTTCAATTTTCATATTTTTACCATTATTTCTACACGTGAGCGACGGGTATCTTGATTACAAACAAGAAACACGCTTCCATACCACCATAGATAAAAGGAGTATAGACACTACTTCTTGTCTACTTCTTTTAATCTATGATACCACCTATAGTCTATATTTACAATTTTGAAGTAGTAAGTTGAAGTAATATAACTTCTACGATTACATGTCTAAATGTTTATGTTTATATTTATGTTTACACTGCGGAAACTACTCAACTAGTTGAGGTCCAGATTGATGTGGAAACAATATTAAACTACATGAAAACTCACTGTTATAGCTGAGGAGCCAATTAAAATTGCAATTTTTTCATGAATAATTGAATAGTCATTGTGTTTTTATATGATTTTCAAATGTTTGCTTTTGAGGTTTTATAACAGTAGGCCTATAAAAAACAAGGGGTTCCAAAAACAATTTTAATACATCATCACAGTCAGTACCTCCCAGTCATAATTTCCTAGTTGACACGGACGTGATAATAACAATACGTATTTAACCATTGCCTGTACAGTATATACCTATACTGTATAGTCAATGATTTAACATTTTAAAGTTTAATCTTCAAAAGTTTGAAGCCTCAAGCTATGCATAATGCATATAATTATTTAATTATTTTGATAAATAATGTAATTTTCATACTTAAAATTGAAGGCGATTTCCAATGATGACCAAGGAAATATTTAAACTTAAACTTATTATAGGCTACATATTTATATAACTTTCACATTTAAAGGTTTGTTGTCCAATCTCACTTCTCACGTTTTAATACCCCCTCATTCTTAAACTTAATAACAACATATATGTCGGCTAATCTGATAATTACCAATTACAAGTCCATAGCCTACTTTATACACTACAAAATCTCTGGATACACATACTAATTATTTGCCTGTATTATTTTATATATGATTTAACATTGCTTGTACAATATTTACAGGATTTTAAAGCACTAAAAAATAAAAGCCATTTAGGAATAAAAAAAACCTTTTCTCATACGATTCACTTGTATTTAGCGCGAGAGCATTAATGAATGTTGTACAGTAATATTGTTATAGAAGGAAAACCTAAGTTGCTATGTTTTTTCATTGATTATTCGATACTGGAATTATTGATCAAAGGTATATTACCTATTATGGACATTGGACAATACCGCGGTAAACCTAATAAAAATATCGAGAGCAACTTATTTACTATTAAAAATTAATGTATCGAGAGCAACTATTATTTACTATTATGCATTGTTAAAATAATAAAAATCCAGTATGGCCGGAAATAGTAGCCTGAGTATTGAAGCGTTTTTGCGTGAATGTTAAAATGAAGTTCGTACAAAATCATTGATAAATGTAACCTCGCTCGAAATAAATATTCATTTTTCAAAATTGAAAGTTTAACATCTTAAGCCAAGATTAGCTTTGCAAAAATATTTTCTGTTCCTTTAGAATAAAAAAAAGCTACAGTAATATAATACCCCCGCCGCAGCAAACCTGCAGACTAAGCTTATTTCCATTTGCCTGATTGTATTTACACTATATAATATCTCCTTAAAAATATCACATTTATTCCCTATTTAAATAGCATTAGTCAAGTACTTAGGTTTGCTGCAACAGGGAGGGTAAAAGGTTTTTTTTTATGTTAATAGTTTAGTATGAAATTAATGCATTTTCCAAATTTAATCAAAATATGTTCATAAACAAGCGAACTACAACAGATTACGTCTTGTCCTCCATAAGCATAACATTGGAATTTTATATTTAAATTTTTTTGTAATTTTCTACGTAACTATTAGGCGCATAACAACGCTTCAATGTACTAAATTATTTGATTTTTTAGCTCTACAAAAAGGTTTGGAAAGAAATTAAAAAATTTTTGTTTTCAGGGTGAAAATGAGAAACCCCCATTTTTACCCCATAAAACCCCCCATCACTGAGGTACTACAACCACCCTTGCATCTATCCCTGCCTCTCTGATCAATGAGGTAACAACAAACCTTGCCTTTAACCACAGATAATATAACCCCTCTCTAACTCTCTCACTCTGATCACAGAGGTAACAGCCACCCTTACATCTAACCCTGCCTCTCCAATCACTGAGGTTACGACTGCCCTGACATGTAACCCTCTCTCTCTGATCACAGAGGTAACAGCCACCCTTACATCTAACCCTGCCTCTCCAATCACTGAGGTCACGACTGCCCTGACATGTAACCCTCTCTCTCTCTGATCACAGAGGTAACAGCCACCCTTACATCTAACCCTGCCTCTCCATCACTGAGGTCACGACTGCCCTGACATGTAACCCTCTCTCTCTCTCTGATCACAGAGGTAACAGTCACCCTTACATCTAACCCTGCCTCTCCAATCACTGAGGTCACGACTGCCCTGACATGAAACCCTCTCTCTCTGATCACAGAGGTAACAGCCACCCTTACATCTAACCCTGCCTCTCCAATCACTGAGGTCACGACTGCCCTGACATGTAACCCTCTCTCTCTCTCTGATCACAGAGGTAACAGCCACCCTTACATCTAACCCTGCCTCTCCAATCACTGAGGTCACGACTGCCCTGACATGTAACCCTCTCTCTCTCTGATCACAGAGGTAACAGCCACCCTTACATCTAACCCTGCCTCTCCAATCACTGAGGTCACGACTGCCCTGACATGTAACCCTCTCTCTCTCTCTGATCACAGAGGTAACAGCCACCCTTACATCTAACCCTGCCTCTCCATCACTGAGGTCACGACTGCCCTGACATGTAACCCTCTCTCTCTCTGATCACAGAGGTAACAGCCACCCTTACATCTAACCCTGCCTTTCCAATCACTGAGGTCACGACTTCCCTGACATGTAACCCTCTCTCTCTCTGATTACAGAGGTAACAGCCACCCTTACATCTAACCCTGCCTCTCCAATCACTGAGGTCACGACTGCTCTGACATGTAACCCTCTCTCTCTCTGATCACAGAGGTAACAGCCACCCTTACATCTAACCCTGCCTCTCCAATCACTGAGGTCACGACTGCCCTGACATGTAACCCTCTCTCTCTCTGATCACAGAGGTAACAGCCACCCTTACATCTAACCCTGCCTCTCCATCACTGAGGTCACGAATGCCCTGACATGTAACCCTCTCTCTCTCTCTGATCACAGAGGTAACAGCCACCCTTACATCTAACCCTGCCTTTCCAATCACTGAGGTCACGACTGCCCTGACATGTAACCCTCTCTCTCTCTGATTACAGAGGTAACAGCCACCCTTACATCTAACCCTGCCTCTCCAATCACTGAGGTCACGACTGCTCTGACATGTAACCCTCTCTCTCTCTGATCACAGAGGTAACAGCCACCCTTACATCTAACCCTGCCTCTCCAATCACTGAGGTTACGACTGACCTGCCATGTAACCCTCTCTCTCTGATCACAGAGGTAACAGCCACCCTTACATCTAACCCTGCCTCTCCAATCACTTAGGTCACGACTGCCCTGACATGTAACCCTCTCTCTCTGATCACAGAGGTAACAGCCACCCTTACATCTAACCCTGCCTCTCCAATCACTGAGGTTACGACTGCCCTGCCATGTAACCCTCTCTCTCTGATCACACAGATAACAGCCACCCTTACATCTAACCTTGCCGCTCCAATCACTGAGGTTACGACTGCCCTGACATGTAACCCCCTCTCTCTCTCTGATCACAGAGATAACAACGTACCTGAAATCTAACCCTTACTTTCTGATCACTGAGGTAACTGTTTCATGTTTTAAATAAAAACACAATTGAAGTTTCAATACTATTTATTATAAATTGTAATTAACATCGACAGAATTACATTTAGGCTGCAGTTAATGAGCCGACATCTTTTATTCTGAATCGGAAATCAAGTACACTTAAAAGAGAATACACAAAGACCAAAGAGTAATACCTCTAAACATGGACTTCACTATATACATATATCAACATCCCCTCTCTTTTACAAAATTGAAAATTTTAACTTCCCAAAATACAACTTTAACATTTTCCTTTCAAGTCTAACAAAATATACACCAAAACCTAATCATAAGACAACCGCTTTGGATTTCTTATCAATCTACCATTTCGGCTTACACAACCATCGAAACTTTTAACAATTTGTTCTTCTGATGAAATTCTAGGAGTTAGGCCTACTGGTCTTTGAAACAACACTGGACTACTTTGCGGAGAAATAAGGCTATTACCATTAGTACCTGACAAACTGATTTGTGAATCTGACTTAGGACTTGTTTCAGGCATTATGGTTTCATTAACTGTATCATTAGACAAATCTGGCCTAATCATCTTCCTATTTCTTACAAACATTTTATCTTTCTCATCAGACAAAACATAGGATCTGGGGATTCTATTTTTTTCTACTACTTTTCCTGATGTCCAAGGCGAATCAACAGTTTTCTTAAAATACACTTTGTCTCCTACATTTAAAGAGGGTAACTCTTTGCTATTTCTATCATAGTACTTTTTAATACAATCTTTTCTCTTGTCTGACAAAATTTTGTTAGGTTTTGTTACTTTAGGCTGCAAACTACTTTTAGACAGTGGCAATAGGCCATTGAGTTTTCTACTAAACATTAACTCTGCTGGTGAAGGTTGATATTGTTTACTAGTGTTACGATAACTTAACAATGCAAGATACACATCAGACTTAGATTCTTTTGTTTTCTTCAGTAAGTTTTTCGCTATTTTGACACCTGACTCAGCTTGACCATTAGATTGAGAGTGTTTTGGACTAACTATCACTAGCTTAAAATCGTACAACACAGAAAACTCGTGAAAAG